GACCACACCCCTTGTGCAAAGCACTTTGCGATTTTTGCTCATAAGAAATGTTTCATTGTCCCCTGTTTTATTTGCAGTTATTCTCGTACTTTTGTGAGTGCCTAAATGCTGCAATTGAAACTGCAAAGCGCGAAGGAAGGTAAGTATTGTTTTTGTTACTGACCAGTTAATTTCTAAGAAACTAAGTTCTTCACCCCGAAGCGTCGATCTCTTATATTAAGCTTAGGGTCAATAAAGCTTGGTTCTTGCACGATAAGATTTGTGTCGCATGCATCCTCGAAAAAATATTGGTCTCGCATTCATACCCTGGACACAAATGAATAACATTGCTTGATAATTCTTAGGTATAGTGAAGGCGTGACAGACGTATCTGGATCTTCAATCACGATGGTCGGCGCTGCCCAGCCTGTTTTTAGCGACTTTCAAAGAGGCCTCATGGAAACAAAGTAAGTACAGTAGTCTTAATGAAGCTATGACCCTTCGCAGTCGTAATCGCAGTTTAACCAATTGCAAATTTAGCCCGAAGTTGCCGTTAAGTCAATTCTTAAGGTCGTTCTTCTGTAGTCGAACCTGCGGTGAGATTTTTGTCAAACTTTGCCGATTGGTTGTTGTTTGAAATAAAATCGCGGGTTCCCCATACTCGTTTTGGAGCAGGAGCAACTTGTCAGTGCGCAATGATTCCTTAAGATACCATGGAAGCTTCGGCATCGTCGACGGCGATGGCAGCGAAAACGTCACTTTTAAAATGAATTTGATTTTTTTTGGTGTGCTTATTCCAGTTCAATGAAAATGTGAAGATGTAGGTGAATTTCTTGGGCACCGCACTCAAGTTTAGATAGAGAAAGAAAAAAATTCGTCCTCGCTTGTTTACGTCCTCCATAAAACGTGAAACTAGCTTTTTCACATCTTAGTTGTGCAGTGACGGCAAAGAAATGTAGAAAAAGTGTGATGCACGTGCGAAGTTGTTGTTTAGTTAATATAAACCTATGCTTTTTTACCTTTCTCGTTGCGGTCGCCGTCGTCATTGCTAAAGCTGCCGACTATGATTATATTTATGAGTACATGCTTTGAACACGTTTCCGATGGTCGTTTCTCTTTCTACGGTAGAACGTAAGAACGTTACTGCTCATTTTAAAAGAAGAGAAAAAATAATAGGTCACCATTCTCGTTTACGAGAAAATGAAGATTTAACTCTCTGGGAGCTCCACTCCAGTCTCAAGGCAAAAGCCGCCTTGTTTTAAGTGCGTGCGTCCTGTTATGATCTGTTGTGAAGTCATGCGCAATGCAATACGAAGGAATAACCTGAAATCCCGTCTCATTTATTTTCATTTCTTTTTTCAGACACGTGACTGTAAACGTTGATCGCGGAATAGGCTGGGATTCGGCAGTGGAGCAGTTACAAGACAATGGAAAAAACAAGTTTGACGGGTTTTATTGTTCCAAAAGGGAACAGAAAGGGAGACGGCTTTACCTTCTAGCGATACAAAAGGAGTCTTCCACCCATCTTTTTAACATTACAAGGTAAATGTAAGGGCGAAAAGCTGCTTATCACGCATGTGAACGCCCTAAAAGTTCAAATTTTAGGTTGGTTGGTTGGTTGGTTTAAATATCGTAAGTCCTCTCTACAGCCCTGCCCTCCCTCGTAAATAAGCACCCTCCCCTCTAACGTTTCTTCTAGACTAATCCGGTATTGTTCATTAACCAGATTCAGAGACTTAAAGTTGTGATTTCTACCTGCAAACAATAAAGTACATGCGATTAAGCGTCCCAGGATCTAAGCTCCCGGCGCGTCCAAACGAATTAAAATGAATTCGATTTATTATGACAGTTTGAAGCTTGCTTAAAAACTAGTAAATGCTAAACGTTTCTTGTTCAGCACTGCTATAGAATGTTTCGAAGCACCTTTTCTATTTTGGTGATAAACCCCTCCTTTTATTAGCTCTCTTAAAACCCCTTAAGAAAATGTATAAACCCAGGGCTTATAAGCGACATATTACGTTTTTGGAATTTCTACCCAAAGATAATTTCCGCTTTTACTTCGTTTTCTTTTTGTGCGGACCAAACACAGGACGGTCTCCTTTTGAAGAAGAAAAAACTGATCTTCTGCACAAGTACAACAGGATTTCACTGGAAGATGCAGGTAAGGGAGACGGGCCTAGTTAGGCTACCTTTTGTATTTACCACCGGGAAGCCGTGTGAAATCAAAAGTGCTGTCCGCGTGTTTTACTGTGATCTGTTTGAAATCTAGTGCACTGCACGGGTGCCAGCCCGTCCTAATTTGTAAAAGATAGGCGAATATTCCTGGAGCTAAATTCTTCAAAACTGTAGTTATCTTCAACAAGATAAATAAAAATTCGTCGTCGTCTCGTCCTCCATAAAACGACGCTTTAGGGGGTTTTACGTCGTAGTCGTGCAGTGGACGTTAAAGAAATGTACTAAAAAGCGTAGTGTACGTGTAGAGCTATTGTTTTGTTCATAAAATGAATTTTTTGATGTTCTCGCTGCCGTCGTCGTTGTGGTTGCAGAGCTTTTGAAATGAATGCCAGTAAAATAAAATAATTGTTGTAACTTCATGTTTTGCTAATCGTTTAACAGGTTACACGTAAAGTAAAGCTCGTAAAATGTCAAGTACTTTGATTGGTCAGGAACTAAATACCGTTGTATGCTTTTGATTCAGTAGAAGCTTGATGGAAAGCACAGTACGAAAGAACCAGAGATCAATGTATTCACGGATTAGGCTGCAAGACTGGACCTTCTTGTAAAAGTAAGTGAAAACTTTATTACATTGGTTATTTCTTAGAAGTCTCCTCAAGAGACCACGAGGAAGTGACTCGACAAAATGATTTAATCCTTCTTTAAAAGAATAACTCCGACAATTTGTTAATGAATGAACGAATAAACGTTATGAACGTGTCAATACAATATCTAGCGGAGGGGAAACCCTCATCTAATAGGGGACACCTAAAGCGCGATACGCGCGTCATAAATGGTTACTTGGTATTGGCCATTTTGAGGTTGCGCGTCAGGTTCAGGTTATTGGTATGTCGAGAGCACTTTGATCCCTTTTGGGACGCTATGGCTTCATTCATTGGCTGTTACGAGGTTGCGCAAGAAACTGGGTTAAAATTTCTCTCCCAAAAGAGTCCCATAGTGCAATTGGACGCAGCACCAACCCAGTTTCACGTGCAACCTCAAACTGGCCACTCTGTGGTCAAGAGTGATACTTCACACATATTTACATGAAGTCCAATGGCAACCATGAGAAAAATGGCTAACCATTGGATCGATCACCGTTTCTGGAAAAACTCCCAACCTTCCCACCCCTAACCCATGTTTCTTTCCTAAAGCCAACCGTTAGGGAAAAGTAAGAGTTAAGGTGGGTTGGGAGGGACCGAGAAACTGTAAATAATTCAACGAGATCCCGTTTTTGTTTGTTTTTCAGCTGGCTGTCGCATTACTCAGATCCACTTATTATGTGGTGGGATTATTCCTCTATTGTCTGCGTTGGAGATGGCCATGGCTAAAAATGCTGATAAAATTGGTCTCAGGTAAGTAACTCTTAACCCCTTCGCTTCCAAAAGAACTGATTATCAAAAGCATGAATCGCTCTAAAAGTCAAAGTACTGCTAACAAGGTTATATTTGAATAGTCATACAATGTATTCACAGTATGTTGTAGCAGTTGATATTTTATCCGTCTGGCGACTTCGGTTCCCGAGGCGTGGGTTTTGGTCGTGTCATTGAGTTTGCTTCACGTTTTATTTTAGATTTAGCTCGGGAAAAAGCGGTCGCCGAAGCCTGTTCACAGACCATCTAATTTCTATTTAGAGATTGTTGAGCGCGCGTATGGAAATGTCGAGCTGTCGAAAAAAAAAAAGAAAAGTGTTTGTGGTCAGGCTACGGACGCCGAGCAGTTTTTCTTGTTCCTTTTTGTTGCAGCAAGGAAAGTCGATCTCTGAGAGTAGTCCGCGTTAGCTAGATGACGGTCAGCGGCTGGTAGGTCTGCGTTACCAACAGCAACTCATACCGGAAGCTGCATTGTTCCTGAAGGAGCAAAAGTTGCTCGACGCCGTTATAGTAAGTAAATATTGATTTGTATAAGGAAAAGTGTAAAAAATTCTCATCACACACAAAAATGTTTCCTTTTGGCCAAGCACTCATGCTCAAGAACAGTTGCCGACCGGTCCTGAATTCTAGCAGCTTTGAACGATTTGATAACCACACTCAGCAAGAGAGAATGATCTAGCTCATTCTCTCTTGTACTCAGTCATCATCAAGAACTCCTCTTAACCCTAAGTCCCAGGAGTGAGCAACATTAATTTTCTCCCAACAATATAAACTGCCCACCTACCCCTCCCCTAAGCCAGCATTAACACGTACTTCTCACTTTTGGCAAAATGTTGGCTTAGGGGAGGGGTAGGTGGGCAGTTTCCTAGTAGAGTATAATGATCCACAATATCAATACGTAACCAAGAGAAAGGTTATAACAATTAATAAAATGTCACCATAAGTTGATCTTTTGTCAAATTCTCTGTTCTAATTTTGTAAAGACAAACGTGAAGAAAAAGTCTGGAGATTTTATTTGTCTGTGGATATTGGGTCTTCGTAGTACACAACAGAGAATAAGTTTTATTTTAACATCGCAACATGATCTTGTTACTTATCTGATATTTATTTCAAATTCTTAATAACCTGCGAGTTCAGCTTCCTCTCATTACCCCCGTTTCTTGGGTCGTTAGCGAAAGTCTGGTTAAAATTGTTGTCATGCTTTGCTACTGCTTCCTGGCTTCATCTTTGAACCTTGTTAGGTATTGTTTTGACTTAAACGATTATCTGTTTTTTGTTTTTCCCCTTTATTTTTTAGGACAAACAAAATGGTGTTTTGAGTTCAACAGAACCTTCTAGACAGCCATCAAAAGCGAACCGAGCGTATGAGGAAGCGGAAACGCCCATCAACCAAAGGACGTTAACTAAGGCTACTACTCCTCGTGTAACTATAAAGAATTTCTGTAAGCCCAAGACTGTTCAACGATCGCCTGAGAGTAATAAAAGTGCATCGGAACGTCAGGATGTTAAGGAAAAGAGCGGGGAAAATGACTGCAATAAGATCGAAAATCAAGAAATCGAGAACAACGTCAAAAACAGCACGGATGACAAACAAGCAACGACCAAACTAAGTAAGAAGGAAGTCAAATCAATTTACTTTAGATCAACGGGAAGAGAAAATCAAGAGCTCCCGGAAAATAAAGGACCTTTCAAAGGTGCTGCTAAGTGTAATGGTCTTGTGTGCCACCCTTCGGAACCCCTTTCGAAAGAGAACCTTCAAGGAAAGAACTCTTTGAAACGAACTAGTTCTGAAGCGTCGTCAAGGGCGATTAAGCGACAGAAGCAATCGAGCATTTTGTCTTCGTTTGGGAAAAGGACTGATAAAGATTCTAAGGACCAAATGGAGAAGGAAATTCTCTGCCCTGTTTGTGGGGAGAAATTTGCGAGCGGATTGAAAAATTCCGATATCAACAAACACATCGACAGTTGCCTCAGTAAATGATAAAAATTATGAAATTTATATATTTTTAGCAAAAATGAATACTAGTTATTGTTGAATCAGAATATGACATAATTAGCAATAGTATTGTTACATGTAACTGATATAAGTTTAGTTATGAAACTATAACACGTTCATGGTTCTGCAGTTTTTTTTTGTTTTTTTTTTTATCGAAATCTTTTCAAAGAAACAAGCTTATGCTACATCCCTCTGATTCTGAACTAAAACCTGTGTCAATCCGTGGATTTACGCTCCCATGTACAGTCGAACTCTGCTTTGCGGACACTTGCTTAATACGGACACCATCATTATTACAGACGGTTTTCTTTGTCCTTGGGGAAAGAAAGCCCTTGCATTTCCTCTAAAATTTGTCTAGAATTTTCTATTACTTGAGGACGGCTGAAAATTTGTAGATGACCGTTCCATTCACGTACAATTTTCGAAGCTTATCTTATAAACTCCCGACGATTTTCTGAAATTTTATTTTTCACATTTTGCTTTCCAAGTTAGGCTGTTTTTCGTAGAAAAAAGGAACCTAAACTTTTCGGTTTCAAAAATGTGGTGGCGAGAGGAATCAGAAAATTTCTCACTTTCTTAATACGTCAAATTTCATCTAAAATTTCGGAAAAATACTAATCAAGCCGTTGTAATTTCGAAAAGACT